CTGGGCTGGACTGGGATGGGATGGGCTGAGCTGGGATGGGCTGAATGGGGCTGGACTGGGCTGGGCTGAGTTGAACTGGGCTGAACTTGGCTGAACTGGACTGGGCTGAGCTGGACTGGGATGAGCTGGGCTGAATGGGGCTGAGCTGGGCTGAACTGGGCTGGGCTGGGCTGAACTGGGCTGGGCCAGGCTGAAATGGGCTGGGCTGAACTGGGCTGGATTGGGCTGAACTGGGCTGGACTGGGCTGGATTGGGCTGGGTGAACTGGGCTGGACTGGGTTGGGCTGAACTGGGCTGTGCTGGATTGGGCTGGATTGGGCTGGGTGAACTGGACTCGAATGGGCTGGGCTGAACTGGGCTGGGCTGAACTGGGCTGGATTGGGCTGAACTGGGCTGAACTGGGCTGGGCCAGGCTGAAATGTGCTGGGCTGAACTGGGCTGGGCTGGGCTGAACTGGGCTGGACTGGGCTGAACTGTTCAACTGGGCTGGGCCAGGCTGAAATGGGCTGGGTCGGGCTAAGCTGAGCTGGTCTGAACTGGTCTGAACTGAGCTGAACTAGGCTGAACCTGGCTTGGCTGGGCTGAACTGGGCTGAACTGGGCTGGGTGTCGCTGGGCTGATCCTAGCAGAACTGGGCTGGGCTGGGCTGAGCTGAACTGGGTTGAACTGGGCTGTGCTGGGCTGTACTGGGCTGTGCTGGGCTGAACTGGTCTAAACTGGTCTAAACTGAGCTGAACTGGGCTGAACCTGGCTGGGCTGGGCTGAGCTGGGCTGAACTGTGCTGGGTGCCACTGGGCTGAACCTAGCTGAACTGGGCTGGGCTGGGCTGAGCTGGGCTGGGCTGGGCTGAACCTGGCTGAACCTGGCTGGGCTGGGCTGAACTGGGCTGAACTGGTCTGGGCTGTCTGAGGTGAACTGGGTTGAACTGGGCTAGGCTGGGCTGTGCTGGGCTAAACTGGTCTAAACTGGGCTGAACTGAGTTGAACTGGGCTGAACCTGGCTGAACTGGGCTGAACTGGTCTGGGCTGTCTGAGGTGAACTGGGTTGAACTGGGCTAGGCTGGGCTGTGCTGGGCTAAACTGGTCTAAACTGGGCTGAACTGAGCTGAACTGGGCTGAACCTGGCTGGGCTGGGCTGAACCTGGCTGGGCTGGGCTGGACTGGGCTGAACTGGGCTGAACCGGGCTGAATTGGCCTGTACTGGGCTGGGCTGAGCTGAGCTGTGCTGGGATGGGCTGTGCTGGGCTGAACTGGTGTAAACTGGGTTGAACTGGGCTGAACTGATCTAAACTGGGCTGAACTGGGCTGAACTGGACTGGACTGGACTGGACTGGGATGAGCTGGACTGGGATTAGCTGGGCTGAACGGGGCTGGACTGGGCTGAGCTGGATTGGGTGGGTGAACTGGGCTGGACTGGGTTGGGCTGAACTGGGCTGAACTAGGCTGTGCTGGATTGGGCTGGGTGAACTGGACTCGACTGGGCTGGTCTGGGCTGAACTGGTCTGGTCTGGTCTGGGCTGAACTGGGCTGGGCTGGGCTGGACTGGGCCAGGCTGAACTGTTCTGAACTAGGCTGGGCCAGGCTGAATTGCCTGAACCTGGCTGAACTGGGCTGGTCTGGGCTGAACTGGGCTGAGCTGGGCTGAACCTGGCTGAAGTGGGCTGGGTCGGGCTAAGCCGAGCTGCGCTGAACTGGTCTGAACTGAGCTGAACTGGGCTGAACCTGGCTTGGCTGGGCTGAACTGGGCTGAACTGTGCTGGGTGCCGCTGGGCTGAACCTAGCTGAACTGGGCTGGGCTGGGCTGAACTGGTCCGGGCTGGGCTGAACTGGTCTAAACTGGGCTGAACTGGTCTGGTCTGGGCTGGGCTGGGCTGGGCTGAACTGGTCTAAACTGGGCTGAACTGGGCTGGGCTGTCTGAGCTGAACTGGGCTGAACCTGGCTGAACTGAACTGAACTGGGCTGAACTGGGCTGGACTGGGCTGAACTGGGCTGTGCTGGGCTGAACTGGTCTAAACTGGGCTGAACTGGGCTGGGTTCGGCTGGGCTGAACTGGGCTGGGCTGGGTTGAACTGGGCAGGGCTGAACTGGGCTGGGCTGAACTGGGCTGTGCTTGGCTGAATTGGGCTGGGCTGTGCTGAGCTGAACTGGGTTTAATTGGGCTGAGCTGAACTGGGTTGAACTTGGCTGAACTGGACTGGACTGGACTGGTCTGGTCTGGGCTGAACTGGACTGAACTGGTCTGGTCCTGGCTGGACTGGGCTGAACTGGGCTGGGCTGAACTGGGCTGGGCTGGACTGGACTGGACTGGGCTGGGCTGGGCTGGACTGGACTGGACTGGGCTGGACTGGGCTGAACCTGGCTGAACTGGGCTGGCCTGGGCTGCTGGGCTGGGCTGTACTGGGCTGTGCTGGGCTGAACTGGGCTGAACCTGGCTGGGCTGGGCTGAGCTGGGCTGTGCTGTGCTGGGCTGAACTGGTCTGGGCTGAACTGGGCTGAATTGGGCTGGGCTGAACTGGGCTGGGCTGAACTGGGCTGGATTGGGCTGGGCTGAACTGGGCTGGATTGGGCTGGACTGAACTGGTCTTGCTGGACTGGTCTGAACTTGGCTGAACTGGGCTGGGCTGAGCTGGGCTGGCCTGGGCTGAGCTGGGCTGGCCTGGGCTGAACTGGGCTGTTCTGGGCTGTGCTGGGCTGTGCTGGGCTGAACTGGGCTGGACTGGGCTGGGCTGGACTGGGCTGGGCTGGACTGGGCTGGGCTGGACTGGGCTGGGCTGGACTGGGCTGGGCTGAACTGGGCTGGGCTGGATTGGGCTGGGCTGAACTGGGCTGGATTGGGCTGGGCTGAACCTAGCTGACCTGGTCTGGACTGTGCTGGTCTGGTCTGAACTGGTCTGGTCTGGGCTGGTCTGGGCTGGTCTGGGCTAAACTGGGCTGGGCTGAGCTGAACCTGGCTGAACTGGTCTGGATTGGGATGAGTGAACTGGACTGGACTGGGCTGGGCTGAACTGGTCTGGTCTGGGCTGGTCTGGGCTGAACCTGGCTGAACTGGGCTGGACTGGTCTCAGGTGGGCTGGTCTGGGCTGAACTGGGCTGAACTGGGCTGGCCTGGGCTGAACTGGGCTGAACTGGGCTGGGCCCGGCTGGGCTGGACTGAGCTGAGCTGGGCTGAACCTGGCTGAAGTGGGCTGGGCTGTGCCGGGCTGGGCTGAACTGGGTTGAACTGGGCTGGGCTGAACTTGGCTGAGCTGGACTGAACTGGGCTGAGCTGGGCCGAACTGGGCCGGTGCCGTGGGCCGGTGCTGGTGGTCGCAGCCCCCAGCGGGTCCGGGTCGGGCCCGGCGCCATTTCAGCACCTGGGACAGAGCCAGGGGGGCGGGCTGGGACTGGGATGGACTGGGAGTGGGAGTGGGAGTGGGGTGGGACTGGAGTGGAGTGGGACTGGGAGTGGGAGTGGGAGTGGAGTGGGACTGGATTGGGACTGGGAGTGGAGTGGGACTGGAGTGAGACTGGAGTGGGACTGGAGTGAGACTGGAGTGGGACTGGACTGGACTGAGACTCGGAGTGGGCTGTCACTGAACTGGTACTGGGACTGGGACCGGGACTGGGATGAGGACTGCTGGGACTGGGTCTGGACTGGGTCTGGACTGGGACTGGAGTGAGACGGGGACAGGTTCTGTGACTATGCCTGGGTCTGGGATAGGCACAGGAACTGGGACTTGGACCAGGACTTGGACCAGGACTGGGACTGGGACTGGAGTGGAACTGGGACTGAAGTGGGACTGGACTGGTACTGGGAATGGGACTTGACTGGACTGGGATTGGAGTGAGGACTGGTTCTGTGACTGGGAGTGGAACTGGGACTGGACTGAGACTGGGACTGGAATGGAACTGGGACTGGGAGTGGAGTGGAACTGGCACTGGCATGGAACTGGGACTGGACTTGGATTGAAGTGGGACTGGGATTGGCTTGGATTGGGCCTGGGCCTGGGCTTGGACTGGGAATGGGAGTGGACTGGAACTGGGACTGGGACTTGGACTGTACTGGGACTGGGACCAGACTGGGACTCAGAGTGGGCTGTCACTGAACTGAGACCAGGACCAGACGAACTAAACTGTACTGGACTGTACTGGGACTGGGATTGCACCTGTGTCTGGGATGCGGACTGGGACTGGGACTAAGACCGGGACTGGGACTGGGACTGGAGTGGAACTGGGACTGGGACTAGACTAGACTGGGACTGGAGTGGGACTGTGACTGGACTGGGACTGGGACTGGAGTGGGAATGGATGGGGACTGTACTGGATCTGGACTGGGAGTGGAATGGGACTGGGACTGGACTGGAACTTGGAGTGGGCTGTCACTGAACTGGGACTGGGAGTGGACTGGGACTGGAGTGAGACTGGGACTGGTTCTGACTGGGACTGGGTCTGAGATGTGGATGGGGACTGGGGCTTGGACCAGGACTGGACTGGGAGTGGACTGGCACTGTAGTGGGAATGGGACTGGGAATGGGAATTGACTGGACTGGGACTGAAACTGGGACTGGGACTGGGACATGATGAGACTGGGACTGGGACTGGGGCCAAGACTGGCCTGGGACTGAAGTGGGACTGGGACTGAGACTGGGACTGAGGCTGGAGTGGAATTGGGACTGGGACTGGACTAGGACTGGGGCTGGATGGGGACTGGGAATGGGAAGTGACTGGACTGGACTGGGACTGGACTGGGACTGGGACTGGACTGGGACCAGCACCAGGACCAGCATAATGATTGGGACTGGGACTGGACTGGACTGGATCTTGGACTGAGACTCGATGGGGACTGGGAGTAGAGTGGGACTGGATGTGGGACTGGGACTGGAGTGGGAGTCGACTGGGACTGGGACCGGAGTGGAACTGGCACTGGGACTGGGACTGGAGTGGATCTGGGATTTGGACTGGAGTGGGACTGGGACTGGCGTGGAACTGGGACTGGGCCTGGGACTGAAGTGGGACTGGGACTGGACTGGACTGGGTCTGGGACTAGACCTAGATTGGGAATGGGAGTGGACTGGGACTGGGTTGGGACTGAACTGGACTGGGACTGGAGTGGAATTGGGACTGGGACTGGAGTGGGAGCGGACTGGGACTGGACTGGATTGTGACTGGGATGACGACTGGTTCTGTGACTGGGTCTGGACTGGAACTGGGACTAGACTGGGATGAGCACCAGGACCAGCATCATGATTGGGACTGGGAGTGGACTGGGATTGGGACTAGGACTGGACTGGGACCGGGGCCAAGACTGGGCTGGAACTGGGATTGTGATGGGGACTGGGACGGGGACTGGGAGTGGAACTGAGACCGGGACTGAGACTGGGACTGGACCAGGACCAGCACTGGAACTGGAAACTGGACCAGGACTGGGACTGGAACCAGCACTGGGGCCAGGACCAGCACCAGGCCAGGACTGGGGTCCAAGCCTGGGCTGGGACTGGGACCAGCACCAGGATCAAAAACTTTGCTGGGACCAGGACAGCACTGGGACTGGGACCCAACACTGGGACCGGGACCAGAACTGGGACCCAGCACCAGGACTGGGACTGGAACTGGGACCCAGCACTGGGACTGGAACTGGGACCCAGCACTGGGACTGGGACCGGGACCCTGCACCGGGACTGGGACTGGAACTGGAACCCAGCACTGGAGCTGGGACACAGCACTGGGACTGGGACTGGAACTGGGACCCAGCACCAGGACTGGGACCCAGCACTGGGACTGGGACTGGGACTGGAACTGGGACCCAGCACTGGAACTGGGACCCAGCACTGGGACTGGGACCCAGCACCGGGACTGGGACTGGAACTGGAACTGGGACCCAGCACTGGGACTGGGACATAACACCAGGACTGGGACGGGAACTGGGACCCAGCACCGGGACTGGGACCCAGCACTGGGACTGGAACTGGGACCCAGCACT